ACTATCGTCTGTACAGTATGTAAATTAGGTACCGTAAGTCTAATACAGCACTGTAATTTTATACATTTCTTGTGAAAGAAACATTTCTTATTCAACGGCGATAAAAATTATTTATATTAATGATGTCTCCAAAGTTCAACGAAGTTTTCGCAGAAAAATAAGTTATCAGAAATTGGCCGCGGTTTGGTGTGCTGCTTCGCGATGAAAACAAGCTTGAGCAATGGCGATGTTGAATGGTGCACACTCAGTAAGTAATCCTACAATTTTTTGTTTATAGCATAGTTTATACCGATTATTCCCAAAAAAAATATACATATTTTGGAAATGTTGAGTCGGATTAGTCTAGAATTGATTAATTTTATGGAAGAAAACCTTTCAATCAGCTGTAGTCCGTAAACTTCACATGTGTCTGGCTGTGATTGGAAGGACTCATAAGAAATTGGATTCCTAAAGAATGGAACGTATCTATGATCTTATAGGGGGTCGACTGTACATATGTATTTTTATATTAGTAATATGTTTTATATATTTAATTTTTAAGAATATTATTTTCATCACTTATGATATTTGAAATTATTTTATATTATAATCGAAAGGCTAAATTTAAAATTAATATATCATATTTTGCAGCATTTAAGATTGACTTTTGTTTCAAAACTAGATCCACATAATCATTTTTTGCATCCTAAATAGTGGATCCAGGCTTTGGGTTCAGCTTTAGATTTGGGTATACTTTAGTTCAATGATTCAAACAACAAATTCAGAATGGATGTTTGATATATCACATGAATAATTTCATTTATCAAAGAATGATTAAAACAGTACTAAATAAACAAGAAATATTTAGTAAATAATTCCTCAAACTACTGTCATAGCTAATAGCCATTGGTCAGGAAAAATCCCTCACTAATTATTGAATCTACAATATCTACAGTAATATCAGAATTATATTTTCTACAACAATGCATAATAGTGCCTTATAAAAATAAAATAGAACTTTATTTTTAAAAAAATTTTATGTTTTAATACGCTACAATCGAACAGCTGTATGTCCATTGCAAACATGTTGAGTCATTTTCGTTTTGGTAGTACCAATCAAATCTGATACCAACTTGATATGTACTGTATTGTACAGTACATGGAGCAGTCCAACTGCATTTACAGTAACTGACTTCACTAATCTAAATGTAAATCTTTTCAGCATAATGCAGTTATAGAAAATTATAATGAATGTCTAGTACAGATAATGAGACAAATAGTATCATATGGTGTAGTGATGATATATATCTATAGATTTAGAAACTGATACATTAATCTACTAACATACATTTTTTTTTATTTTTCAAACATATTTTGTTTTAAATTTAGAATAAATGCTTTACTGTATAATCTGGTGCATCTTATGTGCTATGAATTATGATAGTCTGGAAAGACAAGACATAAATTCAAATGTTGCAATAATGGCTTCATAAATATCAATATTGGTTATGATTCTGAATGTAACTAACAAAGTGTCATTGTGTAAATAATTTTAATTTTTTTTATTTAATAATAATTTATTTCTAGATAGACAAGAGCATAATTTTATGCTATAAAAATATATTACATATCGTTTGCATAAAAGACCCATTTTTATATGTTAAATTTTTAATGAGTTTTGTTATCTCTTCAATATATACTAGGTAGTCCAATAGTTCAATTAATTTTAACTTGTTTAAAATTAAAATTTTGAAAAATTAGGCAGATAGATAAAACAAAAATTAATGAAATTATTAAAAAAATAATAAATTTAAATTTGATTATCTTTTGTATAAAACAATGCTAAAACAATTTCTATAGTTATGTTATAAAAGAAAGAGAGATGCAATTATTTTTAAAAATTGTAATTAAGGTTCAAAAAATGCAGGCAAAATTAGAAAAATAAAAATTATTTAAAATAATTATAAAAACTAAAACTAAATTAATACTAAATAAATTAAATGTAAGAATTAATTAAAACTAAAAATAATAATTAAATTAAAATTAAAAAGTAATAAAGTAATTAAAACTCTGGCCTTTATGCCAAAACCAGAACCAAAATTAAAACTAATTAAAATCAAATCAATTGAAAATTAAAACATTTTAAAAGACTGTTTAAAACTTGGTTTGAAATTTTCAAATTGTAAATCAAATTAATTTTTAAATGTATGCTATTGGTGGATATATATAATAAACATTTTGCTTATTATATATATACTTAACTTAATATTATTTCAATATATATTTAATTATTATAATCTGTGTATATATACATACACAGATTTATTATAATAATTAAATTTAATATGAAAACTAAAACTAAATTTCTATGTCTGTATTCTGTATATAATCAAAGGTTATTATTCAAAAACCAAACTTAAAGAAATGTTGCTATGGGAGCAAATGAATAGCTGTTTTTTCAACTCCAAGTCTGGATCAAAAGTGAAATTTTTTGTGTCTCCCATCCATGGCTAGCACTAGAGTTTGTATTGCTTGGGACAAGAAATTAATTTGATGCCCCTTATTCCCCCACATAATATAAAAAAAGTTTTTTAATGGTAGCTGTTTATATGTTTATTAAGTAACATCTCTCCAATCCAAAAAAAACTTCTGCAAAAGCAATAAAAGGAGTTTTATAACCTGAATTGGCTGTGAGATAGTCTACTGGAAGTTTTTCCGGATTGAAGAGACATTACTTAATAATTAATTAATTAAAAAGAAAGTTGTTTTAAAATGCCATATGTATTAGAAGTGGGAAGCAATTTGCTTGTGTCAACAATAGATTTGACACCTAGAGTTATTAGTGCAAACTACATATAGGTGGCTGCCATGAGTATAAAGTCTGCGGTCTGTTAGAATTAGAAAGTGTTCAACCTACAACGTTGACAAATGACACAACACAATATTAGCGATTATGGTGCAGACTGAAGGAGTGATTGTAAAATGGGATGAGGCGAAAGTCATAAAACGGTGCACTCCCTATCCATTGCATTGGAGATGGAAAAGGTGGATATTTATAAAAGTAAAATGAAAAACCATTGCCTAAATGCTAGGGATGCTAATGCGCTTCCAACAGCATGGAAATATATGATAGAAAAAAGAATGGTACTTAAAATCCTTAAATAATGCTTTTCTAGTTAGCTTTGTTTACTATGTTTTATTTGTTATTTTATTTATTTAATATACACATTTCTTTCAATTTTTTTTAAAGCTAAATTATTTTTTTGAATTTTAAATATGTAAAATATTCAAAAACGGTTTGTTCCATTTTGGAACATTTATAATATTAAACCCGACAATGGCCTATATTAGATAGGTTGAAAACGTTTGTAAAAATAAAAGAATTTTAAGCTCAGCAAAATTAGGTGTTGGTGAAACAGAAGTGAATTATTTGCTGAGAATGAGGTAGATAGATATGAAGTTAGTTTTAGCATTTTCTCTCCTTCTATAAGACATCTTTTTCGATTGCTCACATATTCTAAAATGTCACAAAGTGTAATCATCGTGACTTAAACAACTACGAAATCAACTAGGATCAATGTTGGACACAAATGCAGATAAAATGTTTTGACTACAAAGAGAAAAGTAATCATAAAGACAATACACAAGTAACTCTCTTATGTTGTCAGGCTCGCTATACCCTTTGTGGCAACCATTTTGTCGACTCATATGCCACCTATATTTATTGGCACAAGCAAATTTTTAAATTTTAATTTTATTTAAAATAGCTCAATTTAACTTACATTGCTATGATAGGTTCATTGCTTGTTATTTTCACTCACAAAAATTTATGAAAATTTTCTGCCCTGGACAAAAGCCCAGTTTGCCACTGGCCCTGCTCCTATCCCTACACAAAGACCTTCCTTCCCCTTTGTTAACCCTTTCCACAAATTCATGCTGAGTCCACAGAGGAAGTTAATGGGTAGTCCTTTCGACGAACAAATTATAGACCCCACCTATGATCTGGTATGACCTACTTACATAGTTTCTTTGTAATTGGTTTCAGTTTTGGTGGGGATGGAACATTTTGCTTTTAATTTATATGCAGATCTGGTCATTTGGGATGGTAATTTTGTAATTATAGTGATTTTTATTTCTATTGATATAAGCATTTCTTTGAAATTTAATCTTCCAACAATTATAATATATCTTGAACATGTTTATGTTCCTGAAGACAGATATGATGATTACAGAAAACAAATACATTTTAATATATCAATATTATTATATCTAACATAATTTTAATAAGAGCAACAATTCTCTCTTATGATCCTCAGTTTTATGATTAGTATAAATTTCTTATGTTTGTATGAAATGTCATATTTAATTACTTTCTGTTGACAGTGTAATAATATATAATTTGAAATTTATTTCTAGAAATAAACCCCTAATTTATAACATAGAATCTTTGAGAAATTAAAGTTTAGTTTAGGACTGTTTACTTAACAATGGACTTTTAAGGATGAATTAGTTAACAAAAGTGGAATTTCTATTATAATGTTTTTTATTTTGCCATTTAAATGTTTCTGCACTAAACAAGAAATGTTTTTTAAAGAAACTATCGTATTAAAGAAATAATTTTTAAAATTTTTCTTATACTGTTAATAACATTATAAATACAAAAGAATATTAATTTTTTAATCTTTATTAATAAATACTTCTATAGAAATAAATAATGATTAATTAAATATTAATAAAATTATTTTGTATATATTTTATTAATTTAAAATATTCTTAGATTACACTCAGTATGAACTTGAGACTGGCAATATGGGTGATGATGAACACTCCAATACGCCTACTTCTACAAACTCCAGTTCTCCTGCACCTAGTCCAGGATTGACAAATCATTCCAAGGCAAATGAGGTTAGCACATTATTAATTATATTCAAATTCAGAAATATTATTTAGATGTATGCATCTTTGTTTTAAAAGATAGGAATTTTAAAAAAGCCACAACATTATAATAAAATTAGAAATTTTCCTTTTTAATATTATCAATTGAAAAATTTATTTCTGCTAAGAGACAGTAATGATTTTCTGCATGTTATTTTATATAATATAATAAATACATATCTAAACTGTATAATAAATATATGTCTAATTTTATATATTTTAAATGCTACATGAAAATTGGAAATATAATTATTACAATCAGTGATTTTATTGGTGTAAAATTAATATCTTATTAATTAAAAGTAAAATAACAGAGAATAATTACACATTAAGTATAAATACCCATTTTTATAATAGCATTAGTTGAAATTTATATATTTTTTAATTTAAAAAATCCATTTTACTTTTTTGACTTGTTATATATATTATCTCACTGGGGGTAGTATTGTAATCATGTCAAATGTGACTGGATCTTGCAAACGACACTTTGAGACTCCTGTACCTAAAAAGGTTTTAAGAAAAAGTTCCATGGGTGTGTGCATGTTGGCATTTTGTTTAACATCTCAAGATGGGATAAAAGATTAAGAAATTTGACACAATATCTTCTATACTGGGTCTTTCAACAAGAAGTGCCATTTTAAATTTCGCACCATTTTTCAACTGTCAACATACATCTGTCATTGCAGTGACATTTGACAAGTAAAAACTAGGAGGTTTTCAAATATGGATCGATACACAGTCACACAATGCATTGAAATAGTGAAAATTCACTACAAAAACAGTGAAAATATTGCGGAGATGATTCGTAAAGTTCGTACTACTTTTGGTCATCATCAAGTGCCTTCTTGCACAGCAATAGTGAATTTAATCAATAAATTTGAACATCTCAGACAAGTTAGTGATGTGAAGACTCCAACTCGTGCTGGTCTGGCCAGATCATCTGGAAATATCGCCACTGTAGCTGAAAGTGTGGCCGAAAAACCAAGTTGACTGACTGACTGAGTTGAAATGATGTTGACTGACTTTTTTTGGCCTAAAACTGATGCTATGGATGCAGACAACATTTATTTTCAACAGGACAGTGCCACCTGCCACACAGCTTGCAAAACAATGGCTCTATTGCACGAAAAATTTCCTAGAGATGTGATTTCTCAAAATGGAGACTTCAATTGGCTGCCATGATCAAGCAATTTAACACATTAGACTTTTTTCTTTGGGGCTAAAGTCTATATCAATGCTCCAGCAATGATTCAAGCACTCAAAAACAATATTACAGCTGCTATGGGTGAAATACAGCCACTATTATGCAAAAATGTGATGAAAAATTTCATCAAAAAAATGATCAGTTGTAAGAAGAGTTGAGGTGGACATTTGGCAGATATTGTGTTCCATTACTAACTTCAGAGTTTGTACTTTGGATTAAAAAAAATATCACCACTTTTCACAAAAATATTGCATTTTTCTGTTGATTTAAAATGACACCTCTTGTTGAAAGACCCTATATAAAGGGCATCGATGCTATAAATTTTTGTGGTTAAAGTTTGATGGAGTGGAGTGATAGAGAGGTTTGTGTCATATCTCAGATACGATCAGACTTAATGAAGATTTTACTTGTTATTAGCATTTAGAATTTTTTATTAAACTACCCTCAAAATTATACTTATTGCCATTTTATAATAATTAATAATATGATATTTTATTACAAAAGCTTTTTATAACAGATGGTAGAGCATACAATTTTAACCTTGTTTGCTGGGAAAGTTATTCAACTCATTGCTGGATTGTTTTTCCTATTTTATTTTTGGGTTTGTTAGTTTCCTACATTTTCAGGCAAGTAAAGTTAAAGGAAGAATAAGAAATAATTACTTCATAAAACAGAAACCTGCTGCATTGTTGTTATTATAAATTATAAATGAAAATGCCATAGCTTTTTTAAAGAAATTATTACAACTAGTTATAATTTAAATAGAAAGTTTTGAAAGTTAAATCTGAAAGTTTTGATAGTTGATAAGTTGTATAAAGTAAAAAATTAGTTATACAGGGTGTGCACAAATTATTGGACAATTTTGTAAGATTATATTTTCACTAATAATGTGCCTCATCTGGGACACACACTGAATGCAATTAAGGTTAGCACAAAATTGTAACTATCTCTGTTTCAAATGGTGGTATTTTAGTTCAGTATTAGTGAAAATATAATCTTATAAAATTGTCCCTAATTTTACAAAGCACACCCTGTTTTGTAAAGTGAAGCAAAAAAACAGTATGCATGCTCATTAGTACTTCAGATTGATTTCAAAATTTGTGTGAAAAACTCAATCCATCTTGGTAGTTTTGAAGCCACTTTTCTGCTTATTGAGTACAACTGCTCAATATTAGCAATCTCATGTACAGCCTGTTACTTTCCCGGCTGTTATGTATACAAAACAAGGAAAAGGATAATTACATCAAATTAACCCCCCAAAAAAGTCGTGGCTGGGAGACTGTTCTTCATTTTATTTTAAATAGTTTAACTTTTTAAAGATTTTTGTTTAATAACATTGATGTTATTAAACAAAAATCTTAATTAAACAGTCATCAGTCCACATGTTAAGAACTTTTTTCATCTTCTCAAATATTGGTTCTTTAAGATGCACTTTCATATTTGCAGAAATGGAACATCCTGCAGTAACAGAACCTCTAACTTTTTGTTCATTTTTTATGGTCAGATTGTTGCTTCATGTAAATCTATAGATTTTGCAACATATGATATTTTTTCTCCTTTTTACCGACAATCCAAAATCTGAACTTTTAATTCCACTGAAACGAAATGCCTTTTACAAGATACTTTTTTATTTCTATCAGACATAGTTCTATAAAATATATATATATATTTTAATGTTTATATATATATATAAATGAACATATCACATACATAATTGAAATAAAGTGTTACTCAGTATTCAAACTTAGTTTGTTCCAGAAGGCTGTTCAAATACTGAACAAATTTTTCTCATAAGGAATAATGTAAATTGGATTATTTTAACTAGAATTTACCACAGATTTAACAAGCATTTACATGCTTAAATTATAATTTAAAAAAAAAAAATGTATTCATACACAATACGAAGTGACAAAGTACTCCTATTAATTTTATTGAATTAAATGGAAAGTTTTTGTATATTTTTAACAGCTGCCATTACTTAACTTACATGTATGATTTAATTATAACTGCCTGGAAATTTAAAAAAGTTTAATAACACTTAACCTAAAAATGTTTAAATAAACTTTACAAAAAACAAAGACTAATGTTTAAAAACAAAACACAGTGTCAGTCTTAAATGCTAAGATCTGAAAGTGATGACGACACTTGGTTTCTATAAACAAGGAAGAAAAACATTGCACTGTCAGTTTTCATTAAAGTAAACTTAACAAAAGCACAAAAGAAATTAAACATTTCAATATTGTAAAATCCATGTGCAAATTTGAGACTACATGTATGCTTACACATATAAAAAAAAATAGAATAATGGAGTTTGCACTTAAAAATTGTGAAATATTTTGTATGAAGGGTTTCTCAAACTATGTTAGAGCAAAACTGGAAGTCATGTTTTATGGGGATATCCTCAATTTTCAAACCATATTAGAGCAAAACAGTGTTATGGAAGTGTATAAGGAATATCTGTACTTTTATTTAATTAATAAAACATTTTTAGTTTTATATAGAGAAGATATGCCATAATTCTATTTTTCTTATCTTATTTTTAATTTTATTTGCAATTATAAAAAATATATAACTGTTAATTATAAAAAAAACAACTGATTAAAAAATTGGATAAACAATAGCTTAATGCGTCTTAAGTATGTAGTAAGTCAAATGCTGTTTTATTTTGTTAATGTGCCATACTATAAGGGATGTGAGGGTCAGGGAATTTGCACAGAGTTGGTCAGGGAAAGATATGAAATTTAAAACAAAAATTTGTCTAGGAACCCTGTATACTACCATTGGACATCTCAGATGGTCATAGAAAACAGCATATACAAAATATACTGTAACTGAGCTATAATTATCAACAAAACAATTCTTTACAATAGACAAAACATTACATTCATTGAGAAATGAAACAAAAAACAAAACCACATATCATTCATATATAGCTGTTCCAAAAATCCACAATATACAAAATATACATACTGAAAAAATTAGTAAATACTTGAAATAAAGCATCTGTGGAAGATGGATAAGAAACTTACTGTGCCAATAGTTCTTTCTTGCACAAGTATCACACCACATACACTACAGTAGAGCATCGATTATCTGACTGCATTCTAGTCGGCAAATTCAAATGTTTTGCTAGTGGTGTGGCGCTACAATATTTGGCTATGTCTTGGCTATTTTAATAATATTTTTGTTAAATTTTTGCGTGTTTTAGCTGGCAACATTGGCTCGACCATGAAAGGAAGTCCAGTATTTAAACGAGGCTTAATTTTCTAATTTTGAGTGGTTGTTTGTTTTGTGAGCAATAAAATAATTTTTTATGATACAATAGTGATAATTATTATTTAGAAAAAATTTTGTTAGGCTTAACATTGATGAAAATTCAATGCGAAGTAGGTTAATAGCAATATACTAATATACTATACTAATAATATATTTTTTCATACTTTTCAGTTATCCGGTTTTTTAGTTATCTGACCAACCCCAGTCCTCGATTGAGTCAGATAATCGATGCTCTACTATATATAAAAGTCTAGATGTTGTATACATTACATTATAGGAAGCAGCAGTACTAATCACATCACATAATCAAGAGATTTTTTAATATAGATATATACATAAACAGCATACAAATTAAATAGTAATTTGTTCTGTAGTTAATGTCTTGGCCTGGATCTGGCATTTCATTAGGCATCTGTATAAACTGAATAGAATATGAAATTAAATCAAAATAAGATAAATTACTTGAAATTGTTTTATTATGTGGAATTTAGAGATGTCAAGAAGCAATGAATGCATTACAATCAGTTACATAAAAATTTAAATATTGTGTATTTCATATTTTTTTTATTTGCATTATTAATTAATTAATTAAGGGTTTTTCTTACATGTAATAAGTGTAAAACTTTTTTTAAATAGAGTAAAAAATATTTTAAAATTGTAATTAAAGTATTCTCTGCAAGGAAGAAATTTTATTAATTTTTTATTCCCGAAATTATTTATGTTATTTAAATTAATAAATTTAGCATTTTGTTTATATGATTTTAAATATAATAAATTTAATAATAATAATAATTTTTACTTTTAGGACCAGAGTGGACAGCCTGTAAAACCTGTGCCAATTAGAGCACATAGTTCCTCAAGCTCAACCTCAGGCACAACTCAAAGCCCTAAAGCAGCACCACCTACATCTTCCAGGAATAACAGGTTTTTTTTTTATTTGTTTGATATTATGTGTTGTTTAATTTCTTTTTGTTCAATTATACAATTTTTTTTTATTTGCTATATAGCAGTTCTACTCAGAGCAGTAGCAGCAGTTCACCTTCTCTGAATTCTCATAATAATCATTCGGTTATTTCTCCAACACCACCAACAACACCTTATGCAGTTGCAGCTGCTGCCTCCCAGAACAGTAATTTAAATAAATGTAAGTTTAAATTATATAATATTGTCTTTTAATTAATTTTATTATTTTAAATTTTAAAAATATATAGGTTTTTAAATTTTGGTAGCTACATTTTTTAAAATTATATTTAGATGGTCCATTGTTGCATTAAGTTTTGTTTAAAGGTGAATTGCATTTAAAAAGTTATAGTTTTTATTAATTAATATAATAATAAAATTGTTGTTTTATCTACATTTTTTCTTGTATTTAAGAATTTAGTCCAAATTATATTTGATTCATTGTAAATTATGAAAATTGACTTTTTTTGTGCATAAAAGAAACATCGACTAAACTTTTTCAAAAAATTTGTTATTACATTTTAAGTAGATATGGTATCATGTTTTATATTAACTTTTTTGTAATTAGTTCTACTTGGTCATCATTATTGCAATGGAATATGTAGTAAAAGTAATTAAGTATTGATATAGATGATTAATTTTTATTCATTTGTAGTTCTTATAAATTAAAAAGTAAATGTAAATAAAGTTCTTCGTTAGCCAAGCATTCTTTTCCTAGTTTCAACATAAAAACGAAAGATTAGATAAGTAGTTCACTTAGTTTGTTTTTGTTTATATATTATTTTGTTTGACATTACATTGCTATATTATATTTTAGTTAGTGTAAGTAACATGTTTAATTTGTTTCAAATATGACATTTAAAAATGATGGTATGTTTAGGATTACTGTTGTGCATATAATTGACAAATTATCTGTGTTTAAAAGATAATTTGAAAGACAGTTATAGTGTGGTTTTTAAATTGCAGTTATGAAGTTATAGTGTATGACATATAATGGGGGCTATGTAAAGGTTTTATTTTCATTCTAATGATTTTTTTAGGGTATACACCATTGTGAGTTATACACACAAAAAGACACTACTTATTATTTTGATTATTTAATATATAAATAGAATATCTATGGTCTTTGAATCTGTGCTAACATTTTTTTTTTTCAGTTCAGATTTAGGTTCAAATTAGATGTAATTGAACACATTTGAAATTAAGATTTTTTTTCAATTTTTTTTTTGTATCCTTGTTTACTTTGGACCTATTAATAGGACTTATTTACACTGGTGTAGTTTCCGTTTAGCAAATAGAGGAGCTCTTAGTCAAAACAAAATATCTCAATTTTCACCTGTTTCCAGGGGATAATAAGATGTTTTCTGCCTAAAAAAATTCCTTGTGGGTCTCATCCATCTGTATAATTAGATTTTCTATTGATTGATATGTCAGGGAGAAAATGTTCTGCTTTATGTTGAGAAGGATGCAGAGCATACATAGAGTTGTACCTGATTGCCTTCAATAACTTGGATGGGGGAAATGTTGTCCCAACAAATAATGTTATTATCAAATCATCTGCATTTTTTATGTTATAACTGAGAAAGCCAACAAATCTTAATGTGACTTCATTTTAATCTTACTGTGACAGAGTTGGCAAGTTTTATGACATTCACATTGATTGTGTAAAGCAGATTGGAGTCTTCACTGTATAATTTGTTTCTAAACATTTAATAGAATTCAACAGAGCATTCTTGTAACATCTGACTCTGCATATAGCTTTTTTTAAGGCACATATATTTATTACTCTAGATCAGGGATCACCAAAGTGGTCTATATCGACTCCCAGGAGTTGATATAACATTATTGGGGGTCGACGAAAAGACTAAAACTTACAAATTTTGAACTGAATATTGCTAATCATGCTAAGGATTATCAAGCTTATCCATTTCATTGATTGTCAGTTACAAAAATTATTATTAACTTTTATTATTATTAAATGTAAAAAATGTAAAATTAAAATATATATATTAAAATAGTAAAAGCTCTTTTTTTTTGCTTGTAACACAAATTTTTTGGTGGGGGTCGACAATCAAAAAAGTTTGGCGTTCTCTGCTCTAGATAGTAAGGAAATGCATTCTTTAGGGAGGTGGATACCTGAAGATGATGATTTAAAATCATTGAACGTATTTGTTTTATTGTTTGTTTTAGTTTGTGCTAGATATTTCTGGTATAGTGAAGTAATTTGGACTTAAGTAAATCCAGTTTTTACCTGTTATGTAGTTATCATTCTTGCTTTAGTAATGACATATAAAAATACATTATACAATTTTTATTTGAATTTAAAGTGTAAAAGAAATTTTTAAAAATAATGTATATTTTCAGTTTCTTTTCTTTTTGTTTTGTGATGTTAATTGATTTGGCAAATGAGCATCTCATACATGGATGGAAGAAATTATTTATGTGACACTATAGTCTATAAAAATTATACATATCAAATTATTAGTATCTAATAAGTATTTATTTTTGTACCTTTCTGTTGTGATTTCTAGAAATCAGATTTGACATTTTGTACATTAATGCACAACTTCTGATAAAGTATTATATATAAGTAAGTTTCTTTTAACAAGGAAGTAATAAAATTTATTTGATAAGCTAAAAAAGATTTGACAATTTTAGATGGTAAAGATTTATACTATTCTGTATAATAAACATATCTGAATTTATCTTAATTACAGTTTGGTCATGCTAATCCAAACTAATTGAGATCAGTGGTAGTTTGGATTAATGATAGGTATGATGCATATGCTTTGAGGCCATTTGTTACTGTTATGTAAGATATTTACAGCAGCAAGCAGAAGTTAGAATTATTGCTAACTCAAATAGGGTCACAGTAAGAATGAGCAGAAATGCTTAAAACATGTGACATATGTTTACTTTACGCTTGAGTTGAATATGTACTGTACTTGACAAGTCCATTATTTTAATTAGGGGAATGGTAGAAGTTGTTCAGATGACTAGGGGTTTGGATTAGCATTACCATACTGTACTGAAATAAGTTTATAAAAATAAACAAAAGAGATCTGGGAATAAGTGATCCCTTATTCCCATGAAGACATTTTATCAGTTACAAATTTGAAATTTTAAAATTAGAATTTAATCAAAAGGATTAGTTTTTTAAGAAAAGATATTTCAATTAATCATTTAATTTTTTTATAGATAATACTAAAATGCTTTGATAATTAAAAAAAATAAATAAAATAATAGTTCAATTCTTGAAAATTTCTTTATTATTCTACAGGATTGAGCAAAATTCTTAACTGTTTTTCAATTACATAGTTTGGAATAGTTATTAGTAATAAATGAATTATTATATAAATTAAATAAAAAAATACATTTAAACTAAATCAAGTTTATTCAAATTATTAATTTTTAAATTTCATATTATAGCTTTTAGTTTTTTTTATAGTTAAGTATCTAAGAATCAAATATTTGAATCATTTATATTTATAATTAAAAAACTTGTAATTTTCTCATAAAATTTCCAAAAAAAACCCTATTACATGTTTTTTTTTCCATAAAATTGTTTTGTAAAAAGAATTAGCTGCATGCTTGTTTAAATTAACTAGAAAAGAAATTTGTCATCATAATATTATTTGATGAAAGAAGTTCTGAGATCCATGTTAATTTTAGTTTATTTAGTATTAAAATAAGTATCTATAGCATTTTGTAACAGAACTTATTAAAAAAGAAATCTATAATAATAATACTCACTTATATTAATAATTAGTTTTTAAACTCTAATGAAACACTTGTTGGAACTTCTAGCAGTTTTAGATATATTATTTAATTTGAATGAATCATATAATGAGTCATAGTTAAGTCATCAGTAGAATACATGAATTAAATGTATTGATAAAAAAATTAGAGAAAAGAGCATTTTGAAAAATTACAAATATAAATTTTTGTATAATATTCTATAGCCAAAGTTTGTAATCATGAAAAATGGATTTATTATTGAGTAATTTGATGCTTTAAAGACATGAAACATTAATAATTTAGCATTATTATTATTATTACAGATATATCCTAAAAATAAATTGAAATAAAACTATTTTGCAGTTAAAAAGAATTGTTTCAAAATAATTAAAATTATAGAATTTTTCAGTGAAATTTGTGAATTGAATTTATCTATTTCTGTTGATTGATATCATCAGAGATTAATTATGCTGGTAATTAGAAAAATGATTTAAGTCAAAAATAGGAGAACATTGAATTTATTTCATGAACTATTTGTAAAATTTTCCAATTACATAAAAAAAAACTTTTATTCAAGAGTAAACAAGTTTGTTTTCTTTTTATGATCATAAAAGTATTTTTTTTTAAGTTATACAAATTCAAAAGTCAAAATATCATTACATTGAAAATATATAACAGACCTCTTTCATAATCATTTCATAAACTGTTAGTTCTGTTAAATAAAATTTTAACAAAATAGTTCTGAGCTTTTTTTGATTTCATTATTTTTTGATAATATTTGATACAGAATGACTCTGGATTTATGAGCTTTAAATACTCTAAATTGAATTATCTATTTTCCTGTAAAGAAATTTAAACTTGTAATTGATGATAAGATAAGCCAAACAAAAACTACTAGATTACATTGGGCTACTTTTCTGTGATAATTTTTAATTAATTTCTAAATACAGTAATACCCCGAACTTATGCGATAGGTGGGACCGAGCGATAACTGCGTAAGTCGGGGTATAATTTCTCAATGTGTGTAAAATCCAAGTCGGATGTATGTAAGCTAATAAATGCTCTCGTTAATCTTATCTCATCTTTTGATTCGTTCATTGTTACAAGAAATCACCATAGAGTCTCTCAAGTCTCCGTAGATATAACAAACACAGAAATAAATAACACAAAATAAATTATGGCTATGTGTGGATTCCACGCGACACGTCCGAACATGTAAGTTGAACAATAGTGTGGAGGGAATGAGTAATCAAGAGTTGCGTGGTGCTCAAACAAAAGACGAATCGACGAGATTTGAAAATCGCGTAACTCCGGATTTGCGTAAGTCGGGGTATCACTGTACTTTGTCACTAGAGGGAGGCATTAGGTGCCATCTCTTATAAAATTTAATAATTATAGTTAAATTAAATAATTAAGAATATTCTGGAAGAAAATAATTGCCTGGAGCTGGACTCAAACCTGTAACTTCCACTCACTATTCTGATTACTGATTACAAATTGACATTGCTCACTTTGTTAGTGGATGGCTAAAAATTTATAGAACAGGAAGATCATTGGGTTCTTCATATTGTCGAGGATTCTTGACACCAGTTAGGAAAAACGAACAATTTTATCCTAACTTGCAATAAAAGAACGATTTATCTTAATTTCATATAATCCGAGTGGGGGAATAACATCAAGTGGAGAAGGGGTTGTGCCGATTCGGATGATGGAAGCAGGCCAATACTGAGAATAAACTAATTATATTTATTAATATCAAAATCTGGATTAAACTACAAAATATACATAGAATATATATATGAAGAGCATACAATATTATATCAAACTAAACAAAGACTCAAACACAGAAGCTATCTAAATATTTTGGAGTACTGTTGCCAAATGAGAGCACTTACATAAATTATTATACTGCCTGGGAATGTTGTGAGAACCTTTCTTCTTGTTAATGTAGACCTTTCATATTAGGATGGAGAAACCAAAGAGGGAACTACTCGATGGGCTAATATCTTCTGACCTAGGATAAAGGCAAAGTGGTTAGTAGTATAACTAAAACATGACTAAATGCAAGGATGGAGGGTGATCTTCACCTTTTATAAGAAAATGGAGACCAATTGGATTTGTTACTGATTTGGTCACTCTCTGCTAAACTTTCCTTTAAGCAGAGCAGTAAACATTTTCTGAATCACAGGAAATAAAGGAGAGATGTTGAAAATAAATAAGGTTTTGTCTTTCTTTCAATTTACAAAATCCGTTTGATTTTCTACAAAATTTAAAAATTTTTTTTTATCCTTTAACTGTTCCCAAACCCAGGTTTTCAAAAAATATTATAAATTGTTATTACCTGTAGATGGGTAAAAAATTACTTGGTGGAAAATGTTTAAAAGAACCAACCAAGGGATCTAAAACAAATTTTAAAACCAAAGTAAAATAAGTATTTAATGTTACGTAAAGCAGACATGGCTATAGAGTTCAGACTATCCTTAAGTTTATGGCTGCATTTGCAGAATGTAGTCTTATCCTCATAGGAAGCCAGAATATCTTCACCAGATGGGGATGGACCATTTATGGGAGATGGGATTCCCTGTGGACACTACTTGTCATGTAGAAGTGGCCTCCAAATCTCACCACTTGTTAGACCATCATTTAAGTTCATTTTTATAATCTTTTAGTTTTATAATTTCTAAATTTATCAAACTAAAAGATTATAAAATGAACTCACATATGGACCGTAGTGATTGTAAATAAATATATATATATTTTAATCTTATGAATTTACTTATATTGTATAGTTAATAAGTGATATTGTGTAGAATGCTTAAAATGTTACTGCATAGTTGTAAGAATGCATGATTTGGAGAGAATTAGATTAAATAAAAAGTTTTGAAATTCGAACATTTATTTTTCAAGTATTCAATTTTACCATTATTCTAAAAGAATTGCATGCTCTTCATTAATATTCTTTTCTTTAGAATTATAGTTTTAATCTCACGTTATTGGAATAACCTGATATTTCAGCAATGCAATGAGTATCAAAGTCAAGATGAAAAATGTCTTCATCTAGTTCCACCAAGCATCTCTTTTGATCTGAACAGAGTTGACAGAGATGATTGACTGAGCCTGTAGTTAAAACTCATTAATTAATAATTAACTATGTCCTGTGTGTGTTAGTTTTGAAACTATTATTTATTTTATGTTATTAAAAATGTTGCATATTTTGTCATTCATAGTCTAAATACACAATTTTTCTTTTGTTTTTAATATTGCATTGTTATTTATTCTCCATAAATTAAAATTTACACATTTTACTACATAAAATTAAACATAGTACAGTGATGAATTAATCTCTAGTAGTGTTACATTCTTAATTATAAATTAAACCCCTCAAAAAAGAAATAATAATAATTATATATATATATATAATTCACTTATATTATTATTATTATGACATATGAGGTATAATTATCATTAACCTGTCCTATGTTGATCCCGAAAATTTTCGGGTTGACCTCATTGACCTGTGTGGGCGATCCCAAATATTTCCATGTTTACATTGGAACGTTTTTGATACTAGATGTCGCTTTGCATCACAATTTTTATATTAAAGCAAACTTTTAAAATAAAATTTTTTTGTTTTTATATTATTCAATATATATATTTTGTTTGTGAAACATAAAAAAATAATTTTTTTACGATACAATAAACACAATTTTTATTTTTAAAAAAATAATAAAAATTTCAACATCAAATAGGTTAAATGTAATTTTTAGAGTGTACAAAAAATTTATTATTAGAAAACACAAACACACACAAACAAACAGGTCCAGTCCGGCTATTAGCCCAGTCAGTTAGTAGAACATGCTGCATATTACGACAAAAATTCAAGAACGAAATAAAAAATCCTAATCCTATAATGCAAGCATAATTTACTTTGTCTACTGGTCCCGAAATGCCACTTAGTAGCCCTGCTGGCATAGTATTTCTCTTGGTAAACTAAACAAAAGAGAGAGAAATTTAGATATTTTTGGCTTTTCCATACACAACCTCCATCCAGTTTTCTTTATCAGCTGTCAGTCATGGGAAGAGAATTTTCCCATTTTCTAGATTGTATAGCAATGATTTTTCTTGTACAGAAATAATTTCTTGTCATTAAAATGGTTTTATTGCACTCAGATGTTTGTTTTATTGAAGAACACATGTTGACATAGCTCTTTAACATAACTCATTATATCGTATTTCAATTGCATAAGTTATTGGGATGTTTGTTTAGTAGTCCCAAAAAGCTCTGGTTCCGATGCTGCTCTATTAAGCAGAATTGACTGTATATATATGTTATGTTATGTTACACCATAACAAAGCAGCCATTTTAGTATAAATTTTTTATTACATTCCATATTGCTGATTTTCAAATAGAAACTCAATAACATGCTTTTAATTATCTGGTAAGTGGGCTTTATTTACTTCTGTTCACTGAACTAATGAACAGAAATTTCAACATATGTAAGTTTCTTATGGCAGATGTTATTAGAATTTAACATACATATTTTATAATTATTATAAAACTAGCTGCAAGTACCCACTTTGCTGGGGTTTTATTTGTTCGTACATTTATATGTAATATAGTTTTTTTTTTTACATAAAAGACTGTTTTTCTTCCTCTACATAATCTTTCTCTGATTTGATGTGTTTCCCTATAATTTTCAAGTTGCTCTTCTGTCTGATTATTTCTGTTTCATTGATAATTTTCTCATAGCAATGTTAGATGTACTTCTCTTTCTTCCGTGGTTTCATTTCTCCGTGCCATCTTTTGACTTTGAGATATGATTCGAGACCACAAAAATTCTTTCTTACGCTTTGGCATTTCACTTTGGCATTGACACACATTTTTACTTTTTATGCTTTGCTATTTCACTTTTCACTTTCTACTTTTTTCTGTTATTTGTACACTTTTACTTATGAAAAATCAACTGAAGCATGTGCGTCACGTCTCCAAAAGCCATCCCCACTACTCACACATGATGGTCCTTGAGTATTCCAAAACATTTTCGACTATTCGAAAACATTTAAGATTAAGATTACATTATAGCCATTCTTACCCGTTTTCACAGAATGCAAGAATTAGGTCCACCATTTCCAGACTAATTAGAGAATTTTTATATGCCTCTAAAAAGATGTTCGATTTCTTGCAAAAACGCAAAAAACCGCATCTGCGCCTGTAAATCTTGCACACCACTTTCTCTTAACACTTCTTTTGTTACTCAACACTTCCATTGTTACACATTTTCAAAGTCAACCACTTTCAACTCTCATATCTCCCACACTCTTATAGCTACCAAAACACAACCACTATAGTGCACGATGGGAGACTTGGGGCTACTACCACACACAAACATCATTCATGTGTGATGTGTAGTTTTGGCTGCAGAGTTAAATATATGGACGTGTTTGTTCTTATAAAAGATTAATAGATAATATAAAATTTTTGCAATAGCTTAATCATTAAGAACAGATGACAGAAATATTGGTTTACACAATCAAGTACATTATAGATGTGCTTGATTGTGAGTTTTATATATATATGTATAAAGGGCTGTATTTAATATAATAAATAAGAATAGCAAAATTAAATATAAAAATTTTAAACTTTTTTATTATTATTATTATAAAAGAGAATAGATATTCTTTAGAAATTATTCAATTAGATCAAAACAAATAACTAACAGAGATAATATATATTCAAGATTGCATAGAATATAAGGGATGAGAGAGCGATTGGATTGATATATTTGATGTGTGAAGCAATACAGAATGTGGAATATGAGAATAAAGCTAGCTATAAAATAATATGAATATGAAAATAAAGATATGTATATATATAAATAATTAATTCCAAAATTTTAGCCATAGCAGAGGAAATGCATAGCAGTCTATATCAAGTTTGGGAGAGAGCTGACTTTTCATTAAGTGGAACAACAAAAGAAGCCTGCCAATGGGAAGGTAAGAAACTGAACATGAATAATTCTGTAAAAAGAAAAGAAAGAATTCAGCTAAAATAATGGATAAGTTGTTGAAATAAAGTTGGAACAAATATTTGTTGTATCAACAATAGAATCAAGATCATTGCAGCACTTTGAGAAGAAATGTAAAGTAAAAAATTTGCACATTTATTGTTAAGAATAAATACTTCAAACAGTTTATAAATATGAAATGACTATGTTTATCGCTAAATAAACTACAGCTGAAAGGTAGTGGTTGATTACTTTTTCATAGTTTTTTCAGAATCGTTTATTGATAGATTTAGCATGTAGTTGTAGTTAAGTTTAATTTTATGATATTGAGAATCCTCTTTTCCTCATATTTTTTTCATAATATAATAATTGGTTTGTTTATATTAAAATCTAATAATTTTACAAACATCAATATTAAGAATATTAGCTTGAACCATTTATATTTTCAGTCTTATAAATTTTAACAATAAAGAATTTTATTCTTAACCTCAAGTAAATTTATAAGATTTATTCTATATTTAAAGATACATAAATATTTACAACAGGGCCAAATATACATGTAAACTAAATCAGCTATAAAGTAATGCTTCATGCTTAAAGAGCCCTTACTCCACTTTAAGAAAACATTATTATTTGGTGGGGAGGACGAGTCTGCTTTATATTATAGCTTAGTGATGCAAAAAATCTGAATCTGGCTCTGTTTTAGGGGTACTGTGCAATATGTTTTTATGTTTCATGTGACATATTTGGATAGATTTTTTATCTTTGAAAGTAGCCAAAAAATATTGGTCTATTTTTAATAATTTAGTGTAATTACCACTAAATTATAAAGAAATCATATATTTCTCTTGTTTAAAATGATTTTTTAATCTTTTTTTATTGTTTGTATTTTTAATTCTATTCATCTATTTTCATCTGTTCTGTTCAGCTATGGTTTCAGTTTATTTCAGTATGTGTTATTGTATTGTATATCAGTATGTATGTATTGGTTTTTTCTTTATTCAGTACATTTTTAAAAATTAACTGAAATATTTTTGTGAAACATATAAAAATAATTATGAATATTGGATAAATAATGTTTAATATTTAATAAGTCATCTGTCATATTATTAGTTTCAAATAAACCAATTTCAAAAAATTTTTATTTTTATATTAAAACATTTTGTAAAATTACTACATAAATATATTTTATATTAATGCTTTTAATTGTATTAATGAGACAATTCTTAGTCATCATTAATACATTGATCAGTAAGAATGACTATATTAATTATACTTTATTATTCATCTCTTGGATTAATTTTTTTTTTTTTCAAATGATTTTCAGCAATTTTACTACCATTTTTGTACTTGCAAGTTGCTGACCCTAATGTGAAATCATTAATTGATCATTCAACATTAATTATATATAACATCATAATACTATATTTAAAAGAATTCATTAACATTTAAATAATAGATGTAATTCAGTTTTATAAAAGTGAAATAATAATTTCGTAAAGGAAAGAATTTTTGAGTGTTTTCTCTCACTGTCGTCATCTTTTTACAATTATTCTGTTTTTAGATATCTAGAAGACAATGCATTTTATTCAAAGTGAAAAAAAAATTAGTTATATTAATAGTAAAACATAAATCATAACTATTATTGTATAAATAATTACTCTAAATCAATGATGATTTACCTTTTCTGGATGTGAGCTGTAAGGGAACTTCATAGGCTTCTGGTGTGTCATTTCTTATAGGGTTGTAGCCTTTAATTCTGCCAAGTACCAACATACTTCATAACCACCAATAGACTAGATACTAAAATAATATATGCTGATGATATGCAAAATAGTAATATATAGTTCATTCTTATTTTTTTTACTGGTAAGTTTAGATTGAGTATTCATCATCAGAAATATCAGCTTAATTAGGGTTGCATTGTGGCACGAGACAGAAAGCAGGAAAATAAAATCATATTATCAAAACTCTGGAACCACGTATTAGGATCTTGCAGGCCATGGATTGATCATGACTGCTATATACAATACTTATAAATCTGTGCTAGGTAAGTTTGTTCCTCCTTTGGAAATTTTGTAACATAGGCTTTCCTATTTAGCTATCATGTTGTTGGCTAAAATGGGGGTGTGCACTTTGTCATTCAGATATCTGTATTAAGGATGATGTTGATATGGTGACTAAATATCACCAGTTTTTCTAAGAATGGCTGAGAATAAGTTTCTAAATAGTGCAGTATTCAGTGTTTTATAGGTATTAATAATACCTTACACAGTAGTAATAGTATTTGTAATGTTTGTAATGAATTAATGATAGAAATATCTTCAAAAATATTTTGTTTGACTTTTATGAAGTTAGCTATATTTTGTTATACTGATAGTGTATGTTGTAATGTTGTCTTAATGAATTTAATAAGAAAGACAATTTAAAATTAAACAGTTAAATTTTAAGTTTCATTATTTAAAAGCTAAAAAGATGAAATTCCAATAAGGATGGAAAATAACATAGAGAAATATAAATTAAATGGAAAAATTACTTATGAAATTATTAAAATAGAAGTTTCATTAAATTAACATAACTTTACAATTCACATTTGCATATTGTAATTAAATAATTTCATATTATGTTACAACTTTTATTATTGATTATCTGTTGTATATTTAAAAAGTTTTACTGTAAAAATGTCAAAATAGACTTGGTTTTGAAAATACCATGAATCAAATTTAATGGGTGTTCAAGATAGATAGATAAATGATGATTTATCTGTAAAACACAGATCATCATTTAACAACAGTGTTATATGATGTAATACATATTAGGTGATATAATTATGCAGTAAATAAGTAAATACGTGTCTAATTTAATATATTGTATTATAAAATAATTTATATGAAATATATTATTTTATAAAAGTAAATTGCATTTTGTAATAAATTTAAGTTTTTGTTATGTAAATCTTATTGTTAAATATTTGGTTTATGAAGATTTGTTGATATATAGACAATCCCTGACTTTCATAAATTTTGACTGCTTTACACAATTTTACAGAAAGTGAAAATAAATTCAAACAGTGCATAAAGATTTTGTGTGTGATACCATCAAAATATTAAATTGTCATGAAAATAAAAATTACTGCATATGTATACTTGATTTAAAACTTGTGTAAATTCTTCAGTAATGAGATTTGTACATTAGTTGGGGACTATCTACATTCTGCTTTTACTGAATATAAATTTTAATTTCATTGGGAAATTTTATTATTTTAGTTTTTTTACATGATTTTTTTTTGGAAACAATGTTAACAGCATATTTACATTGTAAAGGCAAACATTAAAATATAAATGAGTTTATATTTCTCTATAATTCTGTCAGAATCTAATCTTATCACCATGAAGAACTACATTTTTAGTTGTGTTCTTTCTTTTCTTTTTCTACAAAAATCTCTTTTTTTATTTTCAGTTTTTAATTCTTTCTTGAGATAATTTTTTTATTAACTTATTCTAATATTCAATAATTTGAATAAAATTTAAAAGAAAATTTCTTTTATTTTTCAGTTTATCCAGAAAATAACAATAAAACCAATTCAATAGATGCAGTTTCGACGAACAGCAGTATACCAATCAACTCATCTCATTCTTCATCAAGCTCAACTTCTGTTAGTACATCTTTTAGCACCATGCTCATGAATCAGACTCCTGTATCAACTGTTCTCAGTCAAATTCAACCATTGTCCTGTGTGTATAGTTTATCAACTACGAATAGCAATCAATCGTTGGCAGCTAATACGGACAGTGTACTTTCCTCCAGTACAACAGGACCTACAAGTGGGACAACGTTATATAGTGCTGCAGCCTCTGCATCTGTTCAATTGTCAGTTCTATCTGTATCTACCAATAATCCCTCAGTACCATCCAGTGGACCTCAATCATCGTCCAACACACTTCTCATGAATGGACCAGTTACATCCAAGATTCAGGTCAGCATTATCAATGCATTCATTATTATTAAATCTACTTGTTACACTTATTGGACTGTTGCTATTTGACATACTGAATACCAGTGGCAGTAAATAATTGTGTTATGATTATGTAGGAAAAATATAAAAACATTCCAAATGTTTTAGTAAATATATTCAATATTATATATATTTAAAAATATATTATTTGTAAAGTATATAGAGGAAAGTGACCCAAAATGATCCCACTGTTTTTCTAATTAAATGGCACTATGCTTTTAGTATAGTATTATTGTCTGTTGAACTGTCTTTGAGAGTTTAATATTTGAAAGTGCACTATAAGCATTATTGCTAAGAGATATGCTGAAAAAAATGTTTTTTATACTTGTTGATCTAAGGCAAGTCCAATAGAATTTGTGTTACAATACTTTGATAATAATAAGGATGTCAAATTGCTTATACTGTCTTTAAATACCCCTGTTTTTTATAGTTTGCCATAACTGTGAAACAGCTAGACCTAACCTATGTGTGATGAACATAGCTTGTACTAAATTTTATATTTTTAGGTAAAATGATTCGTACAGATGTAATTATTATGTAGAAAGTGTAGAAATTATTAGAAAAAGTAAAGTTCTAATATGTTAGTTTGTTATCCATGTATTGTTCTAACTTGTTGCTATTAGTTTCATTTAGAAAACTTAATTCTTTTTTATTTAACAAACCAAAAAGTTTTTATTGTTAAGTTATTTTAACAAGAGTTAATTTTTTAGAAATTTAATTATGTTAATATAATGTTTTAACATAAAAATAAAGATGTACTGTTTTTCTCATTTCATTTTTTAAAGAATTTACCCTTTCTGTGGATATTAAGAGGCATCATTTTACCTTACCTAGTGGGGTAATATGATTCTTTTGCAAAGATAGACATTATTGTAAAAATTTACTTAATTATTATATTTTAATTATTATCATATATAATTATTATATAGGACAGGGCACTGTTGAAGTATAATTACCAGAGGGTAACATGATGATAAATTTTAATTCTGTATGAATCAAATTTTACTTTTTACAGCAATTTTTCTCTTAATGGAGATCATTTTGGACCACTTACTCATACAATTTATGAAAGAATAAATAAGACTATAACATTTATTTGCCATAATTTTATATAATTTAACCAAAACAAAATTAAGATGCTAAAATAAATGACCTCAAATTAGTGTTTGTTTAAGAAAGCTTTTATCTTAATACAAATAATAAAATCAAATTTTAAATGTTTGAACATTTATTTTTAGGGAAAAAATTCCAGTTTAATATAAGCTTATATTAAATTCAATTTGTTTAGAAGCTAAATATTCAGACCTCTAAAATCCAGTAAGAAAAAGTTTGTTAAGCTAATGATTTTTGATTTTTTATAGCCATCTTGAGATTATATCAGCATATAATAATTTGAATTTCATTCTTTCTATCCATCATCATCATCATCATCATCATCATCCATTTAATTATTTTGGTTAGAGAGTGGCTGTAGAATTTAATGGTGTGACGTATTAGTCATATTGAACATTATAATTTTTTTGTGTTTATTTACTTGATAAAATTTGCATAAGCCATCCAAATACAGGGTGGTCCAAAAGTCCTTTAACATTTCAAATGGTCATAAAAAATAAATATGTGGTGTTAATCAACAACTGTTTATTGTATTTTAAAGTATACAAATTAGGGTTTTATTTTTTGAATATAACATCACATAAGTGTGAGCCTTGTTTATTTTTACACTCCTGTAACCTGGACTGGAAATTTTCCATGACCACCCAACAAGTGGTTGATGAAATGTTTTGTTTAAATGAATTAAAAGAAAACATGCATTTCATTGCATATGTTTTCTTTTAATTCTTCAATAGATTGAGTTACTGATGTAAACTTTACTTTTAAGATATCCCCAAAGGAAAAAGTCCATTGGGACAAATACGGGCTGTGGGGTGGCCAGTTAATGTCACCTCTTTAGGATATCAGTTTTTGGCCAATTCCTGGCTTCAATTCCTGTACAATTTGAATTTTGTGCGGGTGTAAATGTAGGTCCTTGTGTAGAATGCAATTTAGAGATGTTCTGGGCACATTTAAGACACTAGATTGCTTTCGAGTGGACAGGCGATGTTGCTCTCAAACATACACTTGTACGCACTCTAGATTTTCCGGTTCTCTTGATGTCTTGGGTTGGCCGAATCATGGCTGCATTAATGTTGAATCTGTCATCTCAAACTTCTGCACTCAATTCTTAATTGTTTGAATTGTTGGAGCTTGATTTGCATTCTGTATATTGTAATGACAAAATTTCAGTCTAGCTTCGGTCGCAGAATCGTTGTTTCAATAGTACTTGCAAACACAAAGTACACGTTGACACTAAATTCCTATTGGCTGCTCTTGCGTCTGATACCTTCCCTGCCCCGATACTATCACCCGTGCGGAACCAACAGGCTTTTCAAATATTAAGAGACTTTTGGACCACCCTGTATAAAGTAACTTGATTAAGTTTTATTGTTTTGTGTTTCTATTGTAATATTTAATTTTAGAAGAAGTAATAAATACTAAGTGATGTGAATTACAGAATCCTAGAATTTGTAAGAAAGATAAATTGAATTGCTTCATGAATATGAAATTTTAAAACTTAAACAATATAAATAGAAATTACGAAATACTTTGAAGTATACCCTCCTCCAATCTCTCATCCATTAAAATGGATGTTTGTTTTTATTTGTTTAATATTTTTCTGTTCATTTTATTGAGTTCAGACCAGGAATCCTTTATAGTGGATTTTTCACTTTTCATCGTTAGGCATCTGGCAACATTGTTTTTTACTTTTTATTTTCAAGATGGCAGCATCAACAACAAATTTTCTTTACAGAAGGAACAAGGTAATTATTAGTCGTTTTTAATCTAAATATATATTAAAAGCGTAATATTATTTTAAATAATTAAATTTTGGTGTTTTTTTAATTATATTATATCTGATTTTAAGATGTTTTTATACATTTTTATCGATATACAAGCAGTGAATCCTGACATTCTAATGGATGTCAGGATTCACTGCTTCTAATTTTGAATTAGGCTTATGTTTTGTTTACTTATTTCTGCTCCAGTAACATTTGTTTTTCATTTTAGCTATATCAGCTGATGATTTGTTGAAACAATTAGAACAATTAAGGAATGATAGTGACTTGGATGTTGGTGAAGGTAGTGGAGATGAAGTTGAGAATTTAATTATTCTTCCTCCAGCTTTACAAGTAGAATCATCGTCTTCATCTTCTGAAGAGTAAATTGAAGATTTAAATGATCCTCAGCCTGGACCATCTCATCTATCTGGACCTAAGAGAAGGTGTCAAAGAATTTGGAAGAATTCTATATCATTTGATGCAACTTTTCTTCCCCCATCAAACTGTGAAAATGCTATAGATCATCGTGCTGAAGATCATTATGACTGGAAACCTATTGATTATTTCTTACAGTATGCTGATGATGAACTTTATGAATTAATTACAAAAGCTACAAATTTAACATTTGTTGAAAAATTGGTAAAAGTCTGAATATGTCAGCTTCAGAAATAAAAATCTTCTTTGGAATGACATTTTTAATGAGTATCCTTGGGTATCCTCAGATACGAATGTATTGGGGAAGGGCTACATGAGTGCAAACTATTGCAAATGCAATGACCAGGGACAGGTATTTTATGATACGATCAAATTTAAAAGTAGTTGTTGAATTGAAGTCTAGTTGAAGATAGCCACAAACAGAAAAACAAAGTCTGGAAAATTGAGCCAGTAGTTAATAAATTTAGAGATGTTTGCTTGGCATTGCCTCATCCAGCATGTGCTTGTAGTATTGATGCACTCACGGTTGTTCTCAGCTCTCTCCGTTCCATTATAATAAACAAATGGCAAAATGAGTGGGACAACAGCACCACGGGTCGCTACACGTATGCCTTCATCCCCAACATCAACCAAAGGCTGAACAATCACGTCTTCCATACCAACCATGGCCTGACCCAGATGCTCACAGCACATGGAAACTTCAGGGCATACTTCAATAGGTTCCACAACAAGGGTAATGCCAAATGCAACTGCGGGATCCCAGAAGATGAAGACCCAATCCACATCACCTTCACCTGTCCGAACTACAACTCTCAGAGGAGACCACTCCGCAATGAAGCAGACTCTGAAGGATTTCTTTGGCCATGCCAACTGAAAGACCTTGTTAACAACAACAAACTCTTCAAAGCCTTCAAGACCTTCGTTTCCAACATCAAATTAAGCATCTACTCCAACGTGGCAAGTAACACCAATTAACGGACCTTTCCCGGCCTACCAAGGCCGGTCTTCATCTCTCTACTCTAATTTCCTCCAGGTAACCCCATATTGTACCACATACCCCCACCCGCCAATTCAAACAGGTGACTGTTGTACTCTCATATTTTGTCGGTCAAATTTGTAAAGCGCGAACCTCCTACTGCATGTAACCTTATATTTTTGTAATATTGTATTATTGTATCATTGTTTTACTTAAACAAACCGGAGTAAGCGCTCATGAGACCCTCTCCTCTTTTCCCAACTTTCCCCCACCCTCACCCCTACTTCCTCCTCTCCCTCTCATCCTCTACTCTTCACCAAGGCAATACCTTTTGGTACGCTTTACTATTCAATCACTGTCACTGTAGTATTGATGAACAAATGATCCCATTTACTAGTGTCTCACAATTGAAACAGTATGTGCCAAGGAAGTCAAATCCAGTAGGTTTAAAAAACTTTGTTTTAGCAGCACCTGGTGGATTAGCCCTTGATTTCTGTATTTACCAAGCTAAAACAACATTTTCTACTTACAACATAGATAGTAAAATTGCTAGTTTAGGAGAATCAGCTGTACTGTACCTTAGTAGAACCTTAGAAGCAGGTACAAAGATATACTTTGACACATATTTTACTACAATCAGCCTGTTGAGTGCTTTACATGAGAGAGGAATTGCT